TGTTTGTGAATTGGATATCCGATCTTTGTATGATTAGAGGGGATGTTTGCTTAATAGAATAATCCATTTTAATTCATGTTTATTTTTAACATGAACTTTAGTAACTCAAAACCTTTTGAGACACATATCACCTACTGCATTGTATCATTTTGTCTGGGTGCTTGCTGTGTTGTCAAACTTCTTTGCTGCTGCTGCTGCTTTTACACTAACAGGGGAGTTAAGAACCCATGAATGTTTCCGTTTGACACAAACAGGAGGACTTGCTTCTAAATAATGCACTAAAGATGAGTGGAGGAAACATCTCTATTGTAGTTGATATACTGGAGACCAAAACAAAAGCAATGTATAACATCAAAACCAACCATCTAAACTATTAACATTGTTGCTTTACTCTTTTTTTGTGGTTGAGTCTCCTTCAAAAAATTTAGTTTGATTTTAGAAAATTTTGCTTCTGCAGTCCTGTCTTGCCACCAACGCGTTCAGTAGATGGAGATGGCAGAGGCAAACGCTATTTTTGTGTTGTTGTTGCTGGTTTAGGGATCGGTTTGTGAAGAAGAGGGAGAAGAGAGGGGGAAAGGGAAATGCATGAGAGGGGGTAACTCTTTTCTCTGACAAAAATGGAGTGAAGAAAGAAATTATGATCAGTAAGGATATGGTTATCTTACATTACGGTCTCTATTCTATTTGAATTGAGCTTGGGAGGCAGTGATAAGGACGAGCTGCAACCAATTCATAGTGAGAAGCGAGCTATGAACTGTGATCATGTCTTATTTCAAGTTAGAAGGTAGTTTCAGTATAATGATTATTTAATTTGACAAGTTGTTTCATCCATGATTATTGGTAGTTTTAGTGCCATTCTAGCCATTGTTTAGTCTGCAATTTTTGAGAATTGATGTGCGAGTAATGACTTTCACTTAGCTTCAACTATTATGTGTGTATTTATTGGCATGTGATAGAATTCTCTTTTCCTTTTCTTTGAATTCAGTTTCATACTCTAATTGTATCATTTGTACATAGGCAAATCATGCTCGAGATGACAACTCACTGATATGGCTGGTGCAAGGAACGAAGCCATCATTAGAATTCAGACCGACAACGGGGAGGGATGCCCAGGACTAATTCAATGATGATTGATGATGGTATAATAAAAACTGCAGTCTGCATCAGCACCAATTTCTAGGCCTAAGTAAAGTTATTCAACCAGAACTCTGCTTAGCGCTAAAAATTCCCCTCACCCAACCTTGATCCTGTTTTACCCACTTCTGAAGATTCAGGATATATGACTAATCCTTTCCGTTCGTATTTTCTTATTGACTCTTTCTGACCCTTTAGGTTGGGGCGGGTCGGGAAGAATCAGATTAGTGGGTCGGTCCTAATCAAGTGGAATCCCAATCCCTTCACTCTCACTTGCTTTCTCTCCTATTCCACAAGTGGGTAACATACAGTAATCCGGCCAACGGGCCGGGTAATAGGCTAGTTTCTTTTGATAGTTATCGCGACAATCATCATTGCCTCTAAAACGAAAAATATTTATTGGCTATCTCCTGTGTCGCCAAATCATCTTTTGATCAAATTGGTTACTTATCTTTACCCGCAGATAAAATAATTGCCTCTAAAAACGTTGCTTTAATTTTATTCAAACAAAAAATTCCTATCAAAAAAATATTTAGCGGCAAATAGAGTTATATATAGAGGCAATTAGGATATATGTCGCAATTAGATTTCTTTTAGAGGCTAATAAAAAATGTGCCTCCAATATGTGCCGCTAAATCTATATTTTCTTGTAGTGCCCCTTCCTCGTTAGCTTTGCTTGTCAGTTGAGAAAAATGACAGAAAGCGTGAAGACCTCCTTGCCACATGTGGGTGAGTGTTTGGACCACACAAGGTAAAAATGATTAAAAAAAATTCACCACTAGGAGGGACATGTTGATGCAGTCCCCCATCACATCAAGGGGTCTCCCCTTGGCCAAGTTCAGCCACTCTTAGTCACATGAGGGGGTTATGTTGATGATCACCCCCTACTACCTCAAGGGGGTGTATGTTGATGACCCCCTGACCATATCATGGGGGCGTATGTTGGTCACCACCCTGATCATACCATGGGGTGATCACTTCATGAGGGTGGCATGCTGATGACTCCTCTTGACCACACCATGGGGGTGGCTTCTTGCAATCCTCATTATCTTTCATACTTAGTCAAATTTCTATCCCATCTCACCACGCTAAGGGGTGTGGTGATCATACCTGTGATCGCACCATGGAGCCCCTTGCTTTGGCCAAATTCGATCATCGAACTCTACCATCTACCCTCCTCGTCTTCCTAGGTGGTTTTGCTGGTTACCATGGGGGCACCATCATTATCCATACTTAGTCATATTTTACTCCACGGTATTGCATCCCATGGGGGTGGCATGTAAATTCCCCCCCCCCCCACCACGTCATGGGGGTGCCAGTATGGTGGCCACCCCCCGCGTCACATCCTAGTAGTGGCGATATGGCGGTCATCCCCAAGAAGGGTTCTGGATGGGTAATGACGATGAAGTTTCACGATCCTGGTAGAACACATAAAAAGGCTATCTCCCATCATCTTCACCAAGCAAACTAACACTCTTATGGCCGGCCTCATGGAGTTCCTTCAAGATTTGCTGAGAACTTTTTCCTTGTCTTTCCACCTCAACAGCTAGATCAATCATGCTTCCCAAATGAGCCATTCTAACACTTCATAGCTCATCACTAGCTTCCAGACGAGCAAACGCCTCAACTAACTCAGCAACCGAACCGTCCTCATCTTCAGCTTCCTCTACCCCATCTTTACTCTCCACATACACATCTTGATCTTCTATGTCTAACTGAAATACCATGGGTAGTATATAGTAACCACCACTGGTGGCAAACTCTCAAACTGAGTCCTATCGGACTTGGGGTTGTGGTGTTCATCCACGAGCATGTATTCTCCAATATACTCATCAATCTCGTTATCATACCCATCACATTCCTCTTCTACTCCTTCTTCCAACCCTTCCTTACCATTAACGTCATTTTGGACTTGGATATCTTGCCCTTATCAGTCACTGTGACTTCGAGACTTGTAGCCATGGAGTTTTCCACCTCGATACTGGTTGGAACATCATCATTCCTTTGTGATGGTCTGACCGTCCCACCAAGTATTACTAAGTATTGCCCCTGCCATGCTTCGACATTCTTAGGAATCTCCTCATTTGAGTCCTTGTCATCCCCCAATAGCTACTGGTTGTTGACGATGCATGTCATAAGTATGCCAACCTCCTTGTGGCACATTCGGTATCTTGAATGTCCTTCTCATGGGAAGAGGGCCATGAGCTATCCATTGTCTCCTTTGCCCCCTCTACTTGTCTTTGATAAGATGGGTATCTCGGTCTATGGGGTGGGCCAATTCTTTGTTGGGCTGGTTTTTGTCTCACTTCATCAAGTCTAAGACTCATTTTGCATTGGGAACATAACTTCTTCACCTCATTTGATACCTTAGAAGCGGCCAAGTTGGCCTGCGTACCTCTCGATGACTCTTCTTGCTCAAACACCACATTGGGGGGCCCTTGTAGCGGTGTTATATCTAACTAGCTTGAAACGGGGAAGCTCTATCTTGGAGAATTCTGGGTTAACCATGTTGACACCAATCACGTTGGCAAACGGGTTGTTACCAACCAACATGGCATCCTTTTTTGACTCAGGAAACTTGATGCGACCCTTCTCGATGACATCTTGCAATGCATTACGAAAAACCACACATGAGTCAGTGGAGTGTGACATGCCATTATGACACTTACAATATTTCTTTCCTTTTAACATCTCTAGGGGGTGGGATGTTATGCCTCTCTATCAACTTGATTTGACCATCTATGTAGAGTTAGTCAAAAATTAAGTAAGCATTGGAGATACCGAAGGAATACTTCCGTAGCTGGATGGTGGCACGATTTGGTTTCCCCCTTGTGGTTGTTTGTCCATCTTAGCCCTTAGCCAAAGGAGCACATACATATGCCTTCCCTGGAGTTAACTCAGCCAAGTCTACCTCCACCTCATTGACCTCTTGGCCAAAATGATTAATAGGGTAGCTGATGTTGGAAAAGTATTGACCACTTGAGGCACTCCTCCTATTCTCATCTTCTTGAAGAAGAGATTCATACCTCACCGCACAAGACATAAGTTGGAACAAGTCAGAGAATTCCCTATCTTGGAATTTCATCTTTAACTCAAAACTCAATCCCCCTTGTGCTAACTTGACAAACTCTCTCTGTCAAGTTGACAAAACAACGATTACAAGCATTCTTGAAGTTTGTCAAGAAGTGCTCAACCGACTCCCCTGGCTCTTGGTGCATTCGTGCCAAGTCGGCCATGGAAACATCACGCTCATATCTATATAACTGAGCATTAAAAATTTGCTCCATCTGCTACCATGTATGGACGAAGTTGGATGGCAAGTTGACATACCAAGCAAAAGAAGACCCTGTCAATGAGTTGCCAAATACTCTTAATTTAAAAAAATCTTCTACGTCCCCACACTAACGTCCAATGTGCACCACAATAAACTGGTCCTCTATCCCAGTGAACGTGACAGATTTGGGCACTCTAAACCCCTTTGGGAATGGATAAAGTCTATCCACCCAATCAGGATAAGACTTTCGATAGACAGGCGACATGGTGGGTCTCACTCCCATGCCGAATTTCTCGATGAGAAGTTGAGCCACATGATCACTAGAGTATTTGGATCATGCCCCCCTTGTTGCCCATCATGGGGTACGAATCCCATGGGATCCATACAATGCCCATTGAAATGGGGTAGCATGGGTATGCCCTTGGAGGAAATTGATCTCCCCCACCTAACCATACTCCCCCTACCAAGTGAGCATGCACTATATAGGGCCTTGCTACTGGTATGGGTATGGGTGGCGATTCCACTGGAGTAAAATGTGTGCCCCCAAATTCTCACCACGTGAGGGAAGTTCTCCAACTCCCACATTGAGTATTCATATTCCCTCCACTTGAGTAGTTGCGGTAATCTCACTGTGATTCGTGCGGTGATGGGTTGGTTGGTTTGTCATCGACGGGGAGAAGTTATCTTGGCGTGGCTGACCAATTCCACCGCCGATGGGATATGAACTAAAATTTCCAGAATTTCTATTGGAGTTTGGATGTTCTCCATCTAATGGCATAGAGGGGTAAAAAAATTCACCACTAGGGGGACATGTTGATGTCGTCCCTCATCACATCAAGGGGTCTCCCCTTGGCCAAATTCGGCCACTCTTAGTCACATGAGTGGGTTATGTTGATGATCACCCCCTACTACCTCATAGGGCTGTACGTTGATGACCCTGGACCATATCATGGGGGCGTATGTTGGTCACCACTCTGATCATACCAAAGGGTGATCACTTCATGGGGGTGGTATGCTGATGACACCTCTTGACCACACCATGGGGGTGGCTTCTTGCCATCCTCATTATCTTTCATACTTAGCCAAATTTCTACCCCACCACATCACACTAAGGGGTATGGTGATCATACCTGTGATCACACCATGGAGCCCCTTGCCTTAGCCAAATTCAACCATCCATCTCCACCAGCTACCCTCCTCGTCTTCCTAGAGTGTTATGTTGGTTACCATGGGGGCATCATCATTATTCATGCTTAGTCATATTTCACTTCATGGTATTGCATCCCATGGAGGTGACATGTAAATCACCCCCCACCACGTCATGGGATGACGGTATGGTGGTCACCCTCCTCGACACATCATGGGGGTGTCGTTATGTCCACCACTCTCTCACCATGTCATGGGGGTGCCTGCCACCACCCTCGACATGTCATGAGGGTGTCGGTATGGTGGCCACCCCCATCGGCACATCGTGGGGGTGGCAATATGGTGGCCACCCCTTCACCGCATCATGAGGGTAGTAGTATGGTGGACACCACCCTCACCACATCGCGGGGGTGGCCCAACACTTATGGACCGTTTGCTTCATGGATTTAAAAATGAGGGTTTTGTAATTTAAAATCCCAAGGATTTATCAAGGATTTGAAGCATTATGGATTTGTAACAATCCTTTGTTTGTTGAGATGTTTTAACATGGATTTAAGAATTTGGGATTTAGAACTTAAAGTCCAAAATTACCATACTATCCTTCTCTATTTGTTTGTCATGTTTATGGGATTAATTGTATGGTTGGTCATTGAGATTACAAAAAACGTTCAAGTTTGGTCACTTGAAATATTTAAATCCATTGGTGGTACTTCGGTTTACTGAAACCGTTCACGTTTGGTCACTCCCCGTCCAATTCTGTTAACTTTGACTGATGTGGCAGTCAACTCTCAAAGTTGACCGTTAACTTAGTGACGTGGCAATTAAGAAATAATAAATAAAATTTAATTTATTTTAATGTCCAACTCATTTTTACCATAAAATAAATAATATATTATAATTATCAAATTAAATTTACCATAAAATAAATAATATATTATAATTATCAAATTAAAAGCGGTGGTCTAAAACCTCACCATCTCGTGCTGCTTGCCGCCGACGACAACCATGGAGGAGCTCCTGCTCACGATCGTCGAATATCCAGTCGGCCGCCAGATCCCACCTCGAAACGATGTTGTCTTTGTCTCAGTCGATTATCCGGAACGCGTGCTGCAAGTCAAGGTAGGGAATCCAGTTTAGGGAATCCGAACGCGTGCTTGGAGAATCAAAACATTGCACACACCTAATCCCCGGTCCGTGTCGAGACATTAATTTGGAGCTTGATTCCCCTCCCTACTCACCTCGCCTACTACACCCACTATTCCTCGATTAGTTTGGAGGGTTTTGCAGTCGTCGGCGATTGGGGTTTTCCCCCTACCCTCCACCGTTAAGCATAAGCAGTGAATCTCCTCGGACTAATTTGAATTGAAGTAGTGCCTCTGCTCTGTACGAATGAAGTACTGCAAATCTCAACCCTAAACCCCGAAGCTAATCCCCACTCCGAGTGTAAAGAGTCCAGACTAGATTCCACCAAATCAACCAATTTCTATCATCTCGTCTTCCTTTTATATAGAGCATAGCAGAGCCTCTTGTAGATCGATTTGAATGAGTCACCTTTCCTTTCAAGCTTGAATTGAACTAACTCCAATCACAATTCAGACGGGAAAGAGAAGGAAACAGAGGCATTGTTTTGTGAGATTTACACCTAATCCCCGGTCCGTGTCGAGGTAGGGATCTGGTGGCCGGCTGGGGAGTCTCCTTTCTACACCAATATTCCTCCTTGGTCCGTGTCGACGACAAGACACTTTGCGTACGAGCGTCAGAACTCGTCGGTGATTGTGAGCAGGAGCTCCTACATGGTTGTTGCCGGTGGCAAGCAGCAGGAGATGGTGAGGTTTCGGAGCGTCCCTTTCAATTTGATGATTATAATAATTTTTTATTTTATTTATTTATTTTATGATAAAAATGAGTTGGACATTAAAATAGAATAAATTTTATTTTATTTATTATTTCTTAATTGCCACGTCACTAAGTTAACGGTCAACTTTGAGAGTTGATTGCCACATCAGCCAAAGTTAACGGAGTTGGACGGAAAGTGACCAAACATGAACGATTTCAATAAACTGAAGTACCACCAATGAATTTAAATATTTCGAGTGACCAAACTTGAATGTTTTTTGTAATCTCAGTGACCAACCATGCAATTAACCCCATGTTTATGATATGTACACAAAACAAGGACAATGCGTACTAATAAGCATAATGTTGCCACAAGGACAATAATAATAAACGGAAAATTTTCATTTAACATAACATATATCGGTTACCAATTCTTTGTCCTCCTTTTCAAAAGTAACATATAGCAACATATATTAGAACCGGGGTACAAAGAATTACACGTTCCATGAAAAGGTCAAAAGAAACTAGAATTCAAGAAAATGTATAAAAAAACTAACACATGTTTGCACAATAATTGAATATTTATATTATTTCTTTGATGTTAATTAATTGATTACTTACAATGTACAACAGGTAAATGTGAGAGCAGACTTGGAATTGTAAAAGTTCATGAGTGTATATGGGTATAATCCCATCATAGATTTATGGCAAGTTACAAATCTCACATCAACAAGTGGGATTTACAAGTCTATGGAGTCCACGAACTTGGACCCTTAAAATCTTTGGGCCCCATGAATTTGATCCTAAACAAATACAAGTAAACGATGGATTTTCCTTAAATCCATGATGGAATGGAATTGGATACCAAATCCATCATCCAAATCCACGAAGCAAGATAGTATGAGGTTATGGGCTCAAAAATCCAATTCACGTGTCTCATTCAATTGATTTAAACTGTTATTATTAAGTTGGCCTTACAAAACTATTTAATCTCTTGCATTTATCGATGTGATACAAGGTTAATTTTTTGTGTAAACAATGGGTTTATCTCTTAAATAAAACTGTATACCAACAATAAGCGATTTTAACAATCGCACAGATATAGGACATGTTCACCAGAAATTCCCTCATTATTAAATCAGACAACAACTTACTGTGACAATAATACTTGATATGCTTCATCCCTTTTCGTAGTCGGCGATACTCGAGGTTATTAATCTTTTTTCCCCCAAGTAATGTCAAGACAATAGTTAGAAAGAACTACTACCCACAATCCCTCTCCATCCCGTTAACAATACATCCTACAAAGTCAAAAGAAGCTAACTCTATCCGAGACAGTAACAGGGCTTAACGTGCCACTCTATGAGCATAGCAATCCACAAAACCGCACTAAAATCTATACAACGAGCATGTGCCCGGCCGGTTGGCCGGAATGTATGAGTTTATAATCTTCGAATAAACTATCACGGCTCAAGATATTTAATAATTTTTCAATTAAATTTTTTATTCATAAAATTATGCAAAGTCTAGCATATTTGAGCAGATTTATCACCATATTTATATCATCGTTGAAATTCTGTTGTATGTGATTAATGTCATGGTATTCTTATCACTTTTGTGGAAAAAGAAAATTACCTAGCTTTTCATAACGTGTACCATTTGATCTCCTTGCATCCAAAAATTACGAATACGCTTTGTACGCATAGATGAATATATGTTACATATTATAAAATGTGAGTACGCAACTCAAAAATTTCCGTTGAATCGCAACTCAAATTTGTGCTCTTTTCTTTCACTCTGTTTTTCAAAAATGTCTTCCTCTTTGCATAATGTGACATTAGTTTAGTGTATACTCACACAAAATTTTGAATAGAAAAACACCATATCCTTTATTTTGCTGACTTTTACGTCCTTAATTTTTATACCTTTTAGAATTGTCCATTAATTATTAAATCTACACAAAAATCAATTTGATGTTGTTCTAATCATACAAAAATAGTTGACTACTAGATTATTTACCCTCAATGCTAAACTTGAAAGGATGTATTGTACCCAAGATCCTGATTCTATAAATGACTAAATAGATAAAACTCTTAATCAACCATTTCTATGAACTCATATAGAATTATTGAAAATCAATTATAATTATAAACAATATAGATTAACCGAGAATCGGAACCACTCCAAAAAGAAGGAGATATTAACTAAGAATATAGCCAAAATAAAAATGAAATAAAAAACTAAGATATTAAGAAACCAAAAGTGATTATCAACATCACCATCGTCTATTTTTATTTTTTATTAGTATAGTTTGTAAACCAGCTATATGATTCATAATCGGACTCTTGTACTCGATAAGCATTTTGAAGTTTCTACCACACCATCCTGTTAATTATATACTAACATCAAACACAACTTCATTTTCTTCTATTAAAAAACTTAATTTGTAGCTATAATTTTTCCGGTGAATTAATACTCAATTGTCAATTGTGAATTAAATCAAGATATAATTACTTTTATGCCCTACCTACAATTAAGGAGAAGCAAGAAAATTTCAAATGGTGAAAATCCTGCAAAACTCCACCATCTTATATTCTTTAGATTTTGATTTAGATTTAGATGAGAAAAAGACTCAAGAAAAATGCAACATTTATCTCCAAAGAGGAGGCCTCAAATGGAACCTTCATCACACTAAGATTGAGCTGACGAATGACAACTTTTGCATCGGCTTCGAGGATAACACGAGCAAGAGAGAACGCATCCCTGGCTACAAGGACTATTGCGAGATACGGGTCA